TGCCGCCATTTCATGCATTTTAACGCACAGATGGTGGGGGGCAAGCCCCAGAATGATTTGCATATGCCGGCTGCCACCAATATACAGTTGACTCTCGTTAATTCGAAACTCGAGGGACTCTTAAAATATTGCGAATTATCGAGTGTTTGAAATATCAAATAGTTCGAAATTTGTGGGAGAAAATGAATAAAACTTCGAATTAATCAATTATTATTTTGAATTTTCAATTATAGAATTGAATTAAATTTCGAACAACAGTAGACAATTATATATAAATGATGTGTGCAAAGTTTGGTTTAGGTAGCATTTGAAATGTGGACGCTATTGACGAAATTCTTTAGCGGGGGAAGGGGGGGAAAATTCAAAAAAAAAATAAAATAAACTCGTCCTTTCTCGGACATAGGAGAATCTGGATGCCAACTTTGGTTATTCTAGGTTTTATAGTTTCTGAGCTCCTTGCGTTCATCCAGGCGGATAGACGGACAGACGGACGGACATGTCTAGATCGATTTCTCTCGTCATGCTGATTCAGAATATATATACTTTATGGGGTCGGAGATGCTTCCTTCTGCATGTTACATACTTTGCACAAACCTAATATACCCTTTTTAACCTACGGGTACAGGGTATAAAAACAGTTACCGGGACGGATCTTGAAGTCGATTTTTGTGTTGGACGCCGATGAGTTCGAATTAACGCGTCGTTTTGTTATATAACATAGATTTTTTCGTTCGAATTACCAAGTTCATACAAATGTATTGATTTAGTTCGAAATATTAAGAGATTTTGTAGAGAACTCTTGATAACTTTGAATTGTAGAGAGGTTCGAATTATCGGAGGTTTGAGTTAACCAGAGTCGACTGTACATACATACTCGTTCATAGTGAGCACCGTGGAATGCGAAGAATGAAGCCTAACGAGCTGCCGCCGAGATCTGCAGCTTGACAGGCAGACGAAAAAAAATCGTTAGGGCCGTTATTTTTCTTTTAGTTTTTAAAATGCATTTTTATGCTCCAACTTAATTAAAGTAAATACAATTTGGCAAATATTAAAGCAACTGTAGCATGGCAGCGAAAACTGGAGCAGCGTTTTTAGCTGAGATTCGTTTTTCGAGCGAATAACAATGCCATTCATTTAAATACAACAGAAATAGGGCAACTTTGTATTTAAATCTTAAATCTTTCTATTTAATTATGAAATAGTCGAGCAATTCAGTTTCAAAGATTTGAATTATATTATCAAATAAACTGTTTATTTAAAGGGGACATATTCTGGCAATTACTTTCGTTAAAAAAAGAATAATAAAGATAATTAGTACAAAAATACTTTTTTAAAACAGTGTTTCAAAGATTTTGTTTGATATTCAACAAAAAAAAGGGTTTATTTAAAGGGGATATTTTCGGGCACTTAACGATTCGTGAATCTATAGAAAAGCCTAATTTAGAAAACTGATCACGGGAAACTGTACGAATAGCTTCGCCACATGACGAGAATGTTCCGCATTTGAAATTTTTTAGGTGCAGCGTAGAGTATTTTGATTAAGAAGTAATAAATACTAAATTCGTAGAAAAGACAACTTTTTTTAGTAAATTAATTATTGGTTTATCAATTATAACGTCCATTTGCTGTTATTTGAAAATTTTTCAAAATGCAGAAAATCTGAGCTACATTTAAAATTGCAAAAATATTTACAAAAACCACTCAATATTAAATAAGAGTCCGATATAATCTGAGGGAGCGACTGCAACGTCTCGAGTTAGTTACGGGCTAATGTGTATGTTACTCAAGAGAATGAATCTGCACCCGAAGTCCAATTTTTCAACAAAAACAAATGCAGAGAAAGATTATTATACTCTAACTAAAAGACAGCTGCAGAAAATGCAAAGAACCGGCACACACAGTAGGCAGAATAGGATACATTTAAAGGCACGCCTCATTCGAGGAGCGGCCCAAAGCATAGCAGGATGCTTCCCCTAATGATCTGCAATACCTGAAATTCCAATGGTCTCTCTCCGGCTCAGCCTTACCTATATCTAATCTTTGTTTAATTTATGAAAATATTTCAGAGCCTCATACCGAAGCAACAAATGAATATTAGCAACAATAAGGGTACTATAATACCTTAGAACAAACCTATACGACCTACTATACATCTCTACATAGCCTCTGTACATGCCCTGCACTTCAAAGACAAACGCCTCTGTTCCTTTAGGGAGTTCATAATACTATATACTCGTATGTAAAAGGGTGTGTCCAATTCTAAGCTAACACCTAATAGAGGCAATAGTCTATATTCCATTGAAACCGGAAGCATATGAAAATTGAAAATCGTTTTTATTCTATTGAAAGGAATAATTTATAATAGTGTAAAGCCTAAAATAAACTGGCAGGTCGTCCTACGTATATCCCGATTGAAAAGAAGAGAGCTTGCAGAATTAATTGGAAATGATTGCTGCTTCTACCTTCCCTCTCCAGCAGCTGAAGCCCTTCATCAGCCCATTAGGCTCAATTGGATTCTATGACACTATAAACTTTGTTCTGTTGATTAGTGTTAAAGTATAACTTGTTACCAACATTGCAGGCCAATTTACGGAAGATATTTACTTTCAAATTTAACCAAAAAAATTGATGTTAACCGTAAATTCCGTAAATGGTTGAAAACAAGCGGTCTTTTATAGCTATTTTTAAAAAAGCTCGCACTTTTTTCTGTAAAATATTATGTCGTTTACAAAAACAAAGGCATGCTGAAAATTGTATATTTTTTGCAGCACTTTTTACTGTCAAGGTTAATTGGTTTGCCGCCACTTTCCATCACGCATTGTTTGCATCGTTGGCAGCACAAAATGGCGGCTAATTAAATTTGGCCAAAGCGGGCGAAAGAGTGAAAAAGTGAAAAAGAAATGGCAAGAAAGGCACTTTTGTGTGCGCACACATCAAACGAATTTGTCGAATAAGGACGCCAGCGGACGACAAATGTAATTAAAGGCTTAAAGTTAATTATGCAGCCGCCTCCACTTGCATGCCGTGCAGTTTAATTACAACTGCACAAGAGGGCCAGAATGCAACTATTTGGCGGTTTCAATTAGCCAGCTACTCCAGTTTTGGTCTACACACTATACTATATGGCGTATATAGTGAAATCACAAACCAAATCACCAGCTGCGTGCCAAACATTGTGCAAATATTTGACAGACGTGACCCATGAGTTGTGGTTCTTGTTGCTACTGTAAGCCAAAATGCAAATAGAATTAGCCATGGTTGTTGTTTGTGCGTGCGTGTGTGTGTGTGTGTGTGTCTATATGTATGTGTGTGTGTGTGGGCATAATATGTATGTATAGCTGACCAGTAATGGGGGGCGCTTGAAAGCGCGAGTGCTGCGCTTATCAGCTCAGGATAGGAGCAATGTCAAATATATAAACAATAGCTGCTGACATCAGAGTTATCAGCAATAGCTATTCTTTTTACAAAAAAAAAAAGAAAAAAAACAGCAAACACTGCTTTGCAATGTCAACAAAGCCAACAATATATTTCGATTTTTTATTACACTACTCACCAAAAACGCGAAACTTCGAACAACTATGACAAAAATTAAGCAATAGAATGCATACAAATTGTTGTTGTCCTTTCTGACAGCCTTTCTAATTCCATTTACAAGCTTAGTAAGTCTGCGACAACGAGAGTAGGTTTTTAATATAATCGCCCAAGTATATAATACTAATACTATATTACTGTGTACAAGTATAACCCGAAAATGTGGCTCAGAAATCAAGCGGATGTTCCGTTTCAAGCCAAATCGAAGAAGGTGTTGAAGTTCATTCCAGCAAAGGAGTTTTTTAAGTGCTTCCAGGATTGGAAAAAGCGAAAAGAAATTTCAAAGTATTCCCGATCAAATATATTTCCATGAATAAATAAAGGTTTTGAATGGCTTACTAAATAGTGCGAAAGGAAATTTCAAAGTAGTCCCGATCAAATATATCTCCATGAACAAATAAAGATTTTGAACGGTTAACTAAATAGTGGGAAAGGAATTTTCTAAGTAATACCGATCAAATATATCTCCATGAATAAATAAAGATTTTGAACGGTTAACTAAATAGTGTAGGAGAAAGAAGTAAAGGTATGTCCATAGTTAAATATGGTTGAGATAAAGCTCTGCAAAGCGAATATTCTATTCAAAATCTACATTACGTGTACAAAGATGTTGAAATACATAGTTTAAGATAGTTATTGGCTCTTTATCAGGGACTGTAATCATTATAAGTGTTATTATAAAAATTACAAAATATTGATTGTTTTTAAATTTTTCTTCATTCTCTCACAATATAAAGATTTATTTGGAGTAGTACTTTGCAACTCAACCAATCGAAATGAAATTAAATAAATTTAAACAAATAAAAAAGAGGGATTTTCTTAAATTAAAATATTTCTTTAAGAATGTTTTTTAGCTTGAAAAAAAAACTTGGGTTTTGCTTTTGATAAAACTCGAAGAATAATTATTATATTAGGAGTTTTCTATTTTACCAATAATAATGATTATTGATTGAGCTATAAATAATAACTTAAAATTAATTATTAAATTATGAGAGAATAAAAACCATATTAAAATGATTAAATCATGTGCAAATTCTTAGATATCCTAAGGATATTGGTAAATTCCCCGCTTTCTCGAAATTACTTTTTTCGTAAAAAAAAAACAAACAAAATAATCATTATATGCTATTCCTACATCTTAGTGCAATCTTTTTAAATTAAAATTCTTTTTTTTACAAATAGACCTTGCCTCCTCTACGCTAGTTTTATCGTGTAGTGGATGAGGTGGATATAGAGTATATACTTGAAGTTTTGTTTAGTAAGTTGAATATTGAACTGTTAAATATTGTATGAGAAATAGTATGCAACGTTTTTCTTTCCAATTCAACTGCAATATTTTAAATACAAATAATCACAATATTAAATATTGTTGCACAGTGTAACGAACATATATTTAAATGGACGCTTACCTCATTATCAAAGTCGAAGGTGCTGCTGCTGCCGCCCGTATTACGAATAAGTGGAGTATTTCTGCTGCTCTCGCGCAGTGCCAGAAGCTCCTTTTGATGTTTCTGCTGCTGCTTCTGGTGCTTCAGATGGTGTTCGTGCTGGATTTTGTTCCATTGGTCGTTGGAGAAGCCCTCAGCGCTATCTTCATCATCATCCTCTTCGTCGGCTGCACTGTCCACTTGCTTGGCATTAGGGAAACTTTCATCGTTATTTGAGTTGAGCTTCTCATAGCCAGCAGTGGTGGCCTGAAGGGGTATAGGTTTTGCCTTCTCCTGTTGCTTATCCTTTTTGAATAGCCAATCGAATATGTTGCGCTTGGCTGCTGCCTTGGCATTGGACTCGCCAACGCTGGGATGCTTGTTGTCAGTTAGGGACTGCGATGATGGCTTCTCCCCAGCAGCGCCGTCGTTACTCTCATAAACATAATCTTCGATGGTATCGGAGTTCTGGGAGTTGTCGCTTCGGATTTGTGCTGTGCCGTGCGTAAAAAGTGAATAGCGTGGCATTTGCTTGCTGCCAGTGTCTACTTCATCGCTATAATCATCATCGCTCTCATAATCATCGCCTTCGTCGTCCTCATCATCGCTGTTGCTGTCGTCATCGTTGCCGTAATCGTCAGTATCTGCACTGCCAACTCGTTGTTGTTGTGTTTGCCATTTGGGTGCGCGGGTTGTGCGCTGATCTGACCAGGCGAAGATTCCCTCGCGATCGAAATAACGCGACACGACGCTGCTTTGATTGCCCACGCGCTGTTTGTAGGGTGCATCGGTTGTTGTTGTTGTTGCTGTTGATGGACTGGCGATGGTGCTGGTTGTGGTCTGTGCTAAGATCTGTTGCTGCAGCAACTGCTGCTGCTGCTGAAAGACTCTTTGCTCCCAATCAGCATGATGCCGATTGTGATGCCGCAAGTGATGTTGCTGACCTCCACCCAGAGACAGCGATGGTTGCAATCGTTGCTGCTGCTGCTGTTGCTGTTGCCTGTTGGCCTCAAGTTCGGCGAGCAAATGTTGCTCGTGGCGCAGATGATGATGACGCCTAATGTTGTTGTTGTTATTGCCGCCTGTTGTTGCCGCGCCCTGTGCCAGCTGCAATTGCTGCAAACGCTTTTGATTGCGATTCGGAGCTGTTGTTGCCGCTGCTATTATTGTTGCATTTTTATCGCGCTCCTTCTTGAAATCGATGACAGCAGCGGCCTGGGCTTGACGTTGTCGTTCCTGATGGTGATGCGCATGCCGCATCACAGCCACATCCAACGGATTGTCATTGCCATTGCCATTGGCATTGGCCATGGCTGAGAGCAGCAATGGCAGCAGCACGATGCCAATTGCATTGCCGCCAAATGGCCCGACTTTTCTCATTTTGTTGACTGACTTAAACGCTTAAATGCTTTGTGCTTTTTATTTACTTTGTTCCACTTGCCTTTTGTTGTAAAATACGCGATTTTCTTTTGTCACTCAAATGCGGATTTATAAGCACTTATTTGTTAATTAATTGAATAATTTAATTTTTGATTTGCCACTCTTTAAAGTGTGTTTTATTTTTTAAGCAATCTTTCTTTTGGAATTTCTTTTTAATTTATTGCCGCTGATTCACTATATGTATATGTTAAATCACTTGTTTGATTTTAATGCACAAATTTATTTTTATCCACAAAATTTTTCACTTGAATTTTTTAAATTTTTTTTTGACAAAATGTGTGCGAAATCTCCTGCTATATTTTGATTTCTTTCAAACAATTTTAATGACACACTGCCTGGCTGCCAAGTGGCACGAGCAATAAATGCGTTAATTTGGTCAAGCCACACGCACGCCTATGAGCACGCACAGTTGCACATAATGGCTATGTGGCAATGTGTATGAATAAGTAAATATCTGGCACAATTTCGTTTTGTTTACTTTGATGGTGATAAAACAGAGATATATGTGTTTACATATATGCGCACTCACACACTGACAAAAGACTTTTGTTTAATGAATAGGGGACCGTAGCCGACGCGCTCCTCCATACAATTCGAGACGAGTTACAGATAACAACTGATGCGGCCAAATGTTGAGAGCAACGGCAGTGCCCTACTAGCAACATTACACAAGCAACATGCTGCGATCCACAAGGAGGTGGGCAAACCCAGCAGCTGCATACAGCAAAGAGAGCAAGTCAGCAACATGTTGCTTTTGATGCCGCCATACATGTTGCAGGCAGCATCAGCACATGTTGCCAGCCAAATGCCGGCAGTTTTGAATGCAACATTTTGAAGTAGAGGAAAAGTTCCAACCGCTCAGATTTTCTTGCTAAAAGAGCTAAATCGATATTTCATTTCATCAACCTATTTTAGTTCTTTTTAAGGTTTATGAAATTTTAATTGAAATATGTCGATTAACATCAATTTGTGTTTAGAAATAAATTTAAACCTTCATTGTGCCATTTAATGAAAATTGTTAGTTAATTGACTTCAATTTCGTAATATTTAATTAATAATTTCCTGCTTTTAATTTTGGTTGGTGTGCATATATTTAGTGAACGATTTACAGCTGCAACGTTTGCGATTTTAGCAACAAATTAGCAGCTGCTGTCATTACATTTGCTTTTGCTTTGGCTATGGCTCTGGCTCTGGCTTTTCCTTTAGCTGCTGCTGGCAGTCGCTCAATGTGGCAATGATTGATGTGCCCGTTGAAGTGGCGCAGACTACTTGAAATTGTCGATAGTCCGTCAGTCATCGAGTTCGATGCGTGATTTATAGATACACACGTGTACTTATGTACCCACATACGCATTCGCAGCCATGTCTGTCCGTCCATACTTTGGCAACAGCAATTCGCATAGCCCACGCCAAGACTTCATTAAAACGCCAATAATGTGAACAGTGGGTTGAAAATGCAAGTTCCTGATCAGTTTCTTATTGTTTCAACATAATGTAGAGACATCGAAATAGTGTTTAAGCATACGTGTAGTTTAAAAATAATTTTTAAAAATGAGACTGCGGCGTAAAGAAGATGGTCATTGCAGGGCTTATAGACCGCATTAAAATAGTTTATTCTAATTATTTTATTTTATTTATTTCATAAATCAACAAATAGTGCTGTCGATACATATTCAAAAACTATGATTTATTATAATATAATATTATAAAATAAAATAAAGATATTTAATAATACAACGTTATAATTTCAACTTAAAAGATAAGAAGAAATCTCAAATAAAACATTACGGCTCAGTTAATGCGTGCTATATAAAAGTTTTGAACTAATCACAAGCAACCCTATTTAAAATTCTCAGTTCAATGCAAAGATTTCATTTATAAAACTATCTGATTAGCATTGGATTGAAAAATTGTGGTTGATTTAAAATATCAATAATATGTTAATATTAGTTATAATGGTGCCTTCATCCGACTATTCGTGCAGCAAATGAGATTTCATAAATGAATGATGTAAATATTTCTTCATTTATATTTTTACAAAAACTGCATCTGATGGTTGCTTCGAAAGATGGAATGAATATTAAGAGCTATACTTATATTCAAAATATGTTCGAAATTTAATTTTCAAAACGCAAAGTTAAATATGTGCATTTGAAAAATAAAATGTTGTTCTAATTTCAGAAAGGGATATTTTTTTAACTCTTTCAGCATATTCAATTGCTTCATTTTGTAATTTTAATAAAATAATAATTACGGCAGAGTAATAAGCAATTTTGTAGAAATACTCTTTATTTATTAAGAGTAATTTTTTTAAAGTTATTATTTTGAAATAGTAATCATATAACGAAAAGAATTAGCACAACTGCTGTCTGGCAATCCTGCTAATACACCTAATTTTGTTTTTACACGGTTTTCATTTAACACGGTTTGAAAATTAAAAATTTTTATATGGTTACACGACATTATTCTATTTAGCACGATTTAAAATAACATATGAGAAAAGTCTACACGACTTTTTCTGGAACCTATATACCGTGTAAAAACAGAATTCTGCAGCAATCGGGCAACTTATTTGATTGCTGGTTAATCGATTACCACAAGTTTATGAGCTAACAATTTTCGCGTCACTGTGCGCGTCGCATTGTTTTTGGCCAGCCAGCAAGTTGGCAATACAAACGCACGCCGATTCCCTTCAAAAAGCACATGGCGGCTGTCAGACTGGGAGAGATTGCCTCAATTTGCGTGGCTTCGAGTCAATCTGTGTGTGTGTGTGTGTGCGGGAATGTTTGTCTGCGACAGCAACAACGACGCCCTTTTGTTGTAAAGATGCTGCAGTAGCGCCCAAACACACACACACACACACACACACTCGTACACACACAACATACAGCCATTACATAATAATAATGAACACGCGCATTTAGAAACGTGCTGGAACTTCTATAGTCTGGCAACGAGAGGAGGCGCGCAATTAAGGTTGCTCAAGCAACGCACACAAACACAATCACACACACACACACACACATACATACGCACACGCACATACGTGTATATATGTATGGGAGTAACTTGCTCTCCGGGCTTAACAGACACTGCATTGAGCGAGGTAAGTGCTTCGGGAAGCCGCAGCGCATTGTTTGCGAAGGCGGGGTGTGATTTCTGTGGAAGGTAGCGACGACGCCTTTGCCATTAGCTGCGAGCCACTGACCACCAGTAGCGTTGCAGTCCCACAACATTTTCCTACTAATTGTCGTTAAACAACAACAACTATAACAACAACAACAACAACAGCAATGGCAGCAACAATAACAACCACAGCAGCGATTGCGAGGCCAAGTTCAAGGCAAGATTATAATTAAACAGTGAGTCACAGATTTTATTTGTTCTTTTTGTTGTATTTTGTATTTTTTTTTTTTTTTATTGGCAGGAAGCATTGAGTCTTCAAAATGCGCTGCAACTTAGCATGGCCATAAAAACCGTCGACTAAGCCAATGATCAATGATAAAGTGAGGCAACAAAAGGGTTGGTTGCCTTCTACTATACGCATACTAGAATGCCTAAAGCGAATGAAGATTTACACGTTTTTATGACTAAGCCGCAACGGGAGGGGCCGAGACCGAAACCGAGACGGACGCGGGCGCGGACCAGGGTCGGGGCTTGGAAAATTGATTTTCCTACGAAGCGTGCAAATAGGATTTGTCAAAGATCACATTTTTTCGATTTAACATAAAATATATGTATACATAGCATATACGTTTGTGTGTATATACACATGGTATATGTATAATTATAACAAGGCAGATGAGCTGCAAGCCACAAACATAAGTTACAGGTAACTAACATGCAGCGGCTAGGGCGCTTGTATTTACAGAGAGAGGTGGGTGAGAGGTGTGTTTGATAAATTCAATTATTTTAAATACTATATTTCATTACTTATTTGTCTTTAATAACAAATCTTTATATTAATATAATACCTTTTTTAAATGCATTTGATACTATGAGTACACTTTAAAGCGGATCTGAAAGCGGTTATGAAATTAATTATAATAGTGTAATATATAATAGAAAATAGATTATCGGCGGATCGGTTAGAGAGCTCGTGCTAGTCCCGAATGGCTGCACACATAATGTTTGTAAATTAGTCAGGATTATGGTTCATAAATTCCGGACAAACTTTGACAGCATCGTGTATAAAAGTCTCTTCAGAAGTGTCCAATGGAGAAGACTTGCGCCCATCCAGTTAGTACTATACTTTACAATAAAACGATTAATAGTCTTCATACGGTCATTGGCATTAGTTAGACCTGAGTCAATTCTGGACCAGTTCTTTATTCATACATTTATTCTTTATTCCTTTGGGATTTTTTCAGAAAATTCTTAAGTCGGCCGATGACTATATTAAGATCTTTGTCCACGCTGTGTATGAGAGCCACAGTTCCAAAATCGTCTGACGCATATAGAACAGATCCGCGAGCTGCTTTCCCTTCTCAGCTGGCACTTTGATGCGCTCCTGCTACTCCTTCTGGTCTGAGCCTAGTTTACGCATAACCATACTTGGTTAATAGACTTAAGTTTGATTTCCATGGAATTCAATATTCGACAGTTTAGTTAAATAATATTTCTTGTCTGCTTTTACTCTATGAAATGAACGATATTTTTCTTTCTTTTTTACAGCTATTATAACTTTTTTGAATTAAAGCCATCATTAAAAAACATATTATTTCGACGAAAGAAAATACTTTTCTTCTATGAAATAAAATGTTTTTTTTTAATCTTTATTTATTATTTTTTTACAATTTAAAGAATCATTAAAAAGCATATTATTTAAAAAAAAAATACGATTAATCAGAAGCAACAGAAAACTATGCTCTAATGTTTTTTCTTCTTTATTACATTTATTTTCTTTTATTTTTTTTTAAA